GGAAAGAGAAAGAGATTCAAGAGGAGAGAGGGGGGCCGAAGCTTAAGAAAACATGACCCGGCCATAGCTCAAAGAGCACATGGCCAAACATAGCTTATCAAAGTAATGTCCAAATTTTTTTTTTGAGTTGGAGTCTCACTCTGTCGCCCAGACTGGAGTGCAGTGGCCACTCCCGGCCACCGCAGCCTCGACCTGCTGGGCTCCGGCGATCCTTTCGCCTCAGCCTTCCGAGTAGCCGGAATTACAGGCATCGCTGCCATGCCCAGCTGATGTTTTTGATTTATTGTAGAGATGAGGTCTCGCCAAGTTGCCCAGGCAGGTCTCGAACCCGCGGGCTCAGGCAGTCCACTCACCTCAGCCTCCCAAAGGCACAGGATTACAGGCTGAGCCACCGAGCCCGGCTAAATTTTTGTTTTTCAAAGATCAATATGCCACTATATTATAGGGAGCAGATCATTAAGATTTTAACTGAGACCCACATCATGCCCACCTCATTCCAACTTTGGAACCTAGTATAACCTAACAGCAGTGTTAAAAATGTCTGTTTGTAAGGGGTCCACGAGTAAACATACATCTGGCCTCAACAGACTTAAAAGCATTTCAAAAGCATCATAGAATTAGTCAAGAAAAGTCTTAAATAGGTCTAATAGACCTATTCAATGTCAATTTTTTCCAGCATCATGTAAATCCATACTAATTGCTATTAATTGAAAACATACTATGTGCAGGAACTATGCTAAGGGCTTTACATATACAAAATACATATCAGCAATTTTCATAGACTGATGAGCATGATGAAATCCATGTCTTCCCCCCCCCCCGCCCCAATCATCCTTCCCAAATCATTCTGGGAATCCAAGACAGGTGACCAAGACAGGCCATATGTCTCTACTGGATAGTGACCTCCAAGCCATACCACTACCACCACCCATCACCATCATTGAGAAGACCCATGCCAATTTGCCCCACCCATCACCATCATTGAGGTTCACAAGCTTGCCATAGGTCTCCTGCCATTTACAAAGTAACAGGGAGAAAACGTTCTCCTTCTATGTTGTGCTCAGCTCTGAGAGGAGAATCCCGTTGTACCTGCTTGGGTTCCAGAGCAGCCCTGTTTAGCAAAACCCACTCTCAGCATCCACACAGCCATTTTTCTCCCCAGTACACACCCAGTCCAAGGGAAGCTGAGCTGAACTGAGTTGCTCTGGCAGCCACCAGGACCATGCCCAGAACCACTGTTTCCCTCTAGTCATGGAGGTAGCTGATTCTACTGTTCTTATGTCTACTGGTAAATTCTCTTTCTGGAGTCCATTTTTTTGACATCTTTATTTTGGATCCACTTTATACACTCTGACTTGTAGAAAAACCTATAGAGAACTGAACCCTAGTTATAGACATCGTTCCAGTTGTACCTGACCCACCCCTGGCCATATACCCACCTTCCACGTTCTCCAACTCCCATGGAAATGAGGGTCTTCATGTAAGTACCAAGGGGAAATGCGTGGGCTTAACCAGCTGCCAGACATCAGTGAGTCTTGGTTGTGTTCCCACCATGATTGTTCCTAGACACACTCTGTTTTATGATTTCCTTAAAACAGCCCTATATTGATAAATCGTCTAATCATCAGCCTTTGGGTAAGTGAACTGAGGCTCAGAGATGTGTGAATGACTTGCCCAAGACTGCATAACTGAAACACTGAATTTGAACCTGACTTTGCCGTCCATGATGTTCTAGACTTGAGTTCTGAGTAGATTTTCAAGAGAAAATCATGTGCCACACTCTAAGGGGATCCTGGAACCTAGGCTCTCATTGCCCATTTTTATATTCTTAAGTTAACCAGATATTTCAACAAGTGCTGACATGAAGGCTATACTTGCAAGGCTATACTTGGGAGGCTGAGGCAGAGGGATCACCAGAGACTAGGAGATCCAGGCTGCACTGAGCCATAATCGTGCTACTGCACTCCAGCCTGGGCAATAGATTGAGACCCCAAGTTGTGCAAATTGATTTTGAGTGGCTCTTGGACACCGTCCTAAAAAACATTTAATCAGTGATAGGATACAGTGGTCTTCCTTTTCCTTTCTACATCAATTCTTCTGGTGACATTAAGAACAAAGTCTCTTCTTAGTATGAATAGGCATTTATCCCTGCATGGCCACCTGCTGGTCTCCCTTTTCAATGAAGTCTCGGGAATAATGGAACTTAATGAGTATTTTGTTTTATTGTTGCATTGCTTTTAGTACATACTACCATTTATAGCAAGTGTCAATATTACACTTACCATAATGATAAGACATTTTATTTTTGAATATATTTAATTAATAAACTATTTTTTTTTTTTGAGTTGGAGTTTCACTCTGTCGCCTAGACTGGAGTGCAGTGGCACGCTCCCAGCCACCGCAGCCTCAACCTGCTGGGCTCCGGCGATCCTTCCACCTCAGCCTTCCAGGTAGCTGGAACTACAGGCGCGCGCTACCCCACCTGGCTAGTTTTTGATTTATTGTACAGTCGAGGTCTCGCCAAGTTGCCCAGGCGGGTCTCAAACCCGCAGGCTCAGGCAATCCACCCGCCTCGGCCTCCCAAAGTGCTGGGATTACAGGCTGAGCCTCCAAGCCTGGCCTAACAAACTATTAAGTAAGAAATATTTAAGTAAAAGGATTGGCCAGGCACAATGGCTGATGCCTGTAATCCTAACACTTTAAGAGTCCAAGGGGGAGGGTTACTTGAGTCCAGGAGTTTGGACCAGGCTGGGAAACATAGCAAGACCTTGTCTCTACAAAAAAAAAAAAAAAAATCAAAAAATTAGCCAGGTGTGGTAGCGCGTTCCTGTAGCCCCAGCTACTTGGGAGGCTGAGGCAGAGGGATCACCAGAGACTAGGAGATCCAGGCTGCACTGAGCCATAATCATGCTACTGCACTCCAGCCTGGGCAACAGATTGAGACCCCAACTCAAAAAAAAGAGAGATAATCAATTTTAAAAATATATATCAAGAAAATATGTTTGTACATGGACAGGACAAGAATTAGAAGATGGTATGAAAACCACTAAAGCTTGAAAGATGACCAATTAGATTAATTTCTAAAATAAGGAATGTTTTGCTGAGTATTATGACTTTAAAAATATAAAATGGCAAATATTTTTGGAACAAGCAATATTTGTAATACTAATTTTTAAAGACTCTGGTAGTCTGAAACCATAATGAAGATCAGGAAAACCTCAGTGTTCAGAAGTATCTCCTTTTGTTTCTCACTGTCAGCAACACCAGGTTCCCCGTTTCATCTACAATACAGCAAGCAACCAGTGGCCGAGAGCTTTACAGACACAGGAAATCAAAAATAAAAACTAGTCTCATGATAACCAACTAGAATAGGAAGAAGGGTTTTAAAACCTAGAAGAACTGTTCTTAAATAGTGAAAGAATTTTCTCAGTCTAAAGTGACTCCTGAAACTGTTGTGACCCAGGCTTGAGGAGGGCTGACCTTAAAAATATTGTTTGATTCTTTACCCATTCACAGTATTAAATAGCATTCGACTGGTCTCAGAGAGCAAAGGTGTAGTTCCAAGAAAGCAGCTCTACTGGTACATTTCTTCTGAGTGAACTATAATTTCCTGACAATCAAAGGCTTCCAGAAATGCCACAATCCTTTTTGGGAACATTTTTGTGCCCAGGGAAGCTTTACGATGGGAAGAAAAGTAAAAGATATGGTGTGAGCTAGAGATCTCATCTAGAGACATCCCAAGTCTGTAAGGGAAGAAAAAAATTCACAGTCACCAAGAACATGTGTTTCTGATCCTTGAAGTCATCATGACAGGGGAGAAATTGGACTCTTGGAATTATTTCCACCACTCTCTAGCTGTTAAACAGGAACAAGTGATTTTACATCGCTGTGCCTCTATTTCTTACCGTGTAAAAAAGGATCATGATACTTACCACTTAGAGGCACTTTAAGTGAGATAATGTATGTGAGATGCTTGGTGCAGAAGATAGGTTGGCAAATATCACTTCCCATCTTTCCCTCCCATTGGGTGTTTTAAAGGAAAAACCAAGCAGGACTTAGTAACAAAATGGATACAGGGAAGAATTCTTAACCAGGAGTCCAGGAGAAGAAATATAGGTCTATGAACCCTGTTCATTTTTCTGGGAGGGAGTGAAGATCTAGTGAATGAATCTCAAAGTGCTCTATAACCACCACCTCCACCCTTAAAAAATGCAAGAACCACTGAATGAAAGATGACCCCCAAAGTCGGAGCATAACTAACAGACGGAATGTGACACAGACCTTTGACAGAATCAGGATAACTTCTCTCCTACTTGAGGCAAGGCTGTATGTGCCAGGATTGCCCCAGGGAGTAAAATAGTGTTTAATTTGAATGTCTTGGACTCCAGCTCTCTGGCCTTCCATAGAAGTGTTTTAGCCAAATTGAACTTTGGCACGATGAACTTGGCCCAGACTGAGGCTGATGTAAGAAACAGTCCCTGCTGCTGGCCCGCAGGCTCTGATTGGGATAACAAGTCGGGATAATGCTTGAACCCTGCCGATTGTATTATAGTGCCTGCTTACTCAAAGACACCAAGAAGGAATTTCTTTGAACTTATTACTAAAATGTTCCTGAGAAGCTCATTTGTCTTTACGCAACAGTGACTATGTATTGAATGATTAATTGTGTTTCCCTCTTTTCCTCAGCTACTAGATATTGTAAAGACAAATATTTTGCTTACCTATAGCCAAGACTTTGTGTTTTGTGTTTTCTGTAGCAAAACATCTCCTCCCTAATTTGTAACTTGGCTGTGTCTATATGATGATTTTATTTTTGTTGCATTTGAAAACGCATATTTATATGTACTGATTTCATTTTTTTCTAAACCTCCTTCAAGTTCTTTTTAGAACAAAATCTGCACAGGCAGTAATACAGGCTGTTTGCCCAGCTAACCCTTTGCTTTTTGTAACAATATTTTTGTAACGTTTTAACTCTTACTTTTGTTTTTATCTTTCTTTAGTCAGTTAAAGAGGACTCAGGCCCCACAGGTGCAGAGGAGAATGTAAGTGATGTATTCTATAGCAGAATCATTCCATTCTCATCTTCTGCATGTTGGACCACTGGGCGTTTTCAGCTCTGGGATCCTGTGTTCTTGCATGCTCCAAGTGTAACTCATTCATTGTAGACTCTTTCACCCTATCACTGATTAGAAACCAAGGGGGGATAACACTGGATGACTTTTTGCAACTCCCATTAATGCAAAATCAGAGGACATATCATTATAATTTGTTCTCATGCAGGGGGTGAAAGAGTCTACGAAACATAAGATCAGCCTTGCACTTCCTTGAGGGGACCTGATGTTACATCTGCTTCATTCTACCTTGACTGCTTGTTCACTCTGATCTCCATGGTGATTCAATTTCTCGCTAACCCTGAGTGGTACTCAGGACAGGTAGTTGCATTGGGTATGAGAACTTCTGTCTCAGGCTGGAAAGCTGACTCTGTGGGTCTGCATCTGAGAGAGATAGGTGGAACCTCACTATCTTCCTGGATTTTGATCTTCCAAAACACCAAAGTTTTCAGGACACTACATTCATGTCTGAAAGGGATGGTGCCATATGAAACACCACAAAAATGCATTTCCCAAAACATTACTGTATTGGCCTCATGAGTCTCCAACCCAAAACAGCAGCTCTCTGCCCTGAAAGAAACTCAATTTTTGGGAAAGTTTAAGTGGGGATAAGTGAATTCACAATTCCCTAAGAGAGAAACTGAACATTATCGTTTTGCCAAAGTAAAATATGTTTGGCCGCTTCTGGGTGTCTCTTATTTACTTGCCATGAATAGGGCGTATGTTTTCGTTTTTATTTAGTTACTGGAATCGAACAGATGTTGAAAATTCAACACGTTCCAGAAGTGTTGTCCATGATGTGGAATGAAAATTAGAGTGACTGTGTCATGATTCTTGTCAGGAGAAAAATCTTTGAGATCTGTGTGTTGTTTTGGTGGTTTTTCTTTCCTTCCCTTCCTCTCTCCTTCCCTCCCTTTCCCCTCCCTCCCTTCCTTCTCCTCTTCCCTTCCTCTTCCCTCTTCTCTTTCCTTCCTCTTTCTTTCCTTTCTCCCTCCTTACCTCCCTTTCTCTCTCCCTCCCTCCTTCCCTTCCTTCCCTTCCTCTCTCTTTTCTTTTTTTCTCCCTTCCTACCTCCCTTTCCATCTTCCTTCCTCCGTCCTTCCTGCCTTCCTTTCTCCCTTCTTTCCTTCCTTCCTTCCTTTCCTCCCTCCTTCCTTCCTCCATCCCTCCTTTCCTCTCTTTCTTCCTCTTTCTTTCCTCCCTCCCTCCTCCCTCCCTTTCCTTCTTTCTTGAGCCAAATTTAACAGCTCTGCAAAATTCCGGTTTCTCATAATTCCAGAAAGTTCTTGTAAATTTACTGGCTAGTGACTCTCTGGAGAAACTCCACAAGTCTTCTTCCCATGAACTTCAAATTTAAAAACTGTGGGTAAAATCCAGAGTATCCATTAGCTTTGAAGTTCTGAGTTTTCTGGGGAAAAAAAACTTTTTCGGATGTTCGTGTGTAGTTGCTTCTTTGAGGAGCCTCCTGTCTCCTGCAGCTCAGATGCTCAAATGCAGAGTTGATCTCTAACAAGCAAACAAGGTATTTCATTTTCTAGTGTGAAATTTTAAACAGAAATATAAACATGAATTAAAAGTTAAATTATTGATACAAAAAAAATAGCACAATAGCTGATTGGGACATAAAAGAAGGTAAAATAATGTTTAAAGAAAACAAAGAAACATTATTTAAAAACTGCTTTAAATTGCTTAGTCCTGCAAATGACGTTTCCATTTTTAAGGTTCTAGCAGCCTATCACTTGGAGGGAACGAGGCTCAGAGTTTTGATGTTGACCTTATCATCTCCAGGCTGTGCTGCCTCTTGAACCTCAGTTTATTCATCTGTTAAGTGGTGATGATAATATTATCTACACTTTATGGTTCTTGTGAGAATTGAATGAGCTAATGCATGTAATGTACTCACTTCAGTGTCTGAAACATAGGAAGAACTCAATAATTTAGGGGTCTATGAATGACAGTTCATAGGCCAGATCCATTCCACAAGTTAAGAATGATTCTTATGTTTTTGAATGGTTGAAAAAATATTAAAAGAAAAATATTTTATAATATGTGAACTTTATATATAATTCAAATTTCAGTGTCCATAAAGTTTTACTAGACTACAGTCACGCTCACTCCTTCACCTATCAGACATGGCTGCTTTGTTGCTAGACAACAGAGTTGAGTGATTGCAAGAGACCCTAAAAGTGGCAAAGCCCTTGCAGGAAAAATTTGCAGCCCCCTACAGTATTTGTTAGAGAGTAGGAAACAATTTAGTAAGTAAGTAGGTCCCAGAAATCAGTGATTTTAAAGCTCACAGCTGACTCAGTATCCAGGTGGATTAAAGGAATATGTAAAAAAGAATTAGTGCAGATTCCTCCTTCCAGAAACAATGTATAATAATCTAAATCTTCACAACAGAGCAATTAGATGTAATTAACCATGTTACAAGAGCCCCTTTTTTTTTTTTTGAGTTGGAGTCTCACTCTGTCGCCCAGACTGCACCGCAGCCTCGACCTGCTGGGCTCCGGCGATCCTTCGGCCTCAGCCTTCCAAGTAGCCGGAATTACAGGCATGCGCTACCACACCCGGCTGATTTTTTTTTTTTGATTTATTGTAGAGATGAGGTCTCGCTGCCCAGGCGGGTCTCGAACCCACGGGCTCAGGCAATCCACTCACCTCAGTCTCCCAAAGGCACGGGATTACAGGCTGAGCCACCGAGCCCGGCACAAGAGCCCTTTAACTAGTGGCTTCTGGCTAAAGTGTGGTTGTGTTTAATTTTTCTACTTACAATTTTTCAAAACAAATCTATCAACCAATGTGAGTTCCACCTGTTTTTTACAAAACGAAGTACAGAGTGATTTCAACATTTCTCAAAGTTTTTAATGAAAAATAAACAAATTAGGCTTTTGAAGCCCATGAAAGTTTAGTGCTTTTCCAAGAATGTACTTCTGGTCCTTTCAGAAATAAAACTCTTGCTATAGAAATTATAGAATCCTTCAATTATAATCTGAAAACATTTTGGTCATTGGTTAATTGAGTTAATGTTCTAACTAATGAAAAAAATCTTTCCTTCCTATGACCTATAAGACCAAGGAAACAGGTACTACTGCTGTTTATCTCTCTTAGTAAGGAAACTCTCAGTTGCAGGTGAGAGAAAATGCAACTCAACCTGGATTTAAAATAAAATGAAATGTGTTGGCTCTTATTACTAGAAAGTAAAATTGGTTTCAAATAACGTTTGATTCAGGGTGCTCCCTGGCTCAGCCTTCTTGACCTGCCTATGTTTCCAGCTTCCTGGCAACATATCACCCTATCCAAAGTGAAGGAGAGTCCAGTAGCAGGTCTACATGTCCTGGAATTTGTTCTCTTTCATTGGTTCAAATGAGTCTACATGCTCCATTAGTCAACTTTTGCCAGGTTATGTTGCAGTAACAACCAAGCCCCAAATTTCAGTGGCTTTTGACAGCAAAGAGTTTTTTTTTTTTTCTAATTCATGCTACAGGTGAGCTGTACATTGGTTGTGATTGATTGATCCACGTTGCTCCTTCTTGTTGAGATCTATTTTTGTTTGTTTTTTTTTGTTTTGTTTTTGTTTTTGAGTTGGATTCTCACTCTGTCACCCAGACTGGAGTGCAGTGGTCACTCCCGGCCACTGCAACCTCGACCTGCTGGGCTCTGGCAATCCTTCTGCCTCAACCTTCCAAGTAGCTGGAACTACAGGCACGCGCTACCACGTTCGGCTAATTTTTTGATTTATTGTAGAGATGAGGTCTCACCAAGTTGCCCAGGTGGGTCTCGAACCTGCGGGCTCAGGCAATCCACTCAGCTTAGCCTCCCAAAGGCGCGGGATTACAGGCTGAGCCACCAAGCCTGGCTTTGTTTGTTTGTTTTTTAAAGACAGAATCTCACTCTGTCGCCCAGGCTGGAGTGCAGTGGCGAGTTCATAGCTCACTGCAGCCTCAAATTCCTGGGCTCAAACGATCCTCCTGTCTCAGCCTCCTGAGTAGCTGGGACTACAGCTGTATGCCACCATCCCTAGAGAATTTTTTAAATTCTTTTGTAGAGACAGGTCTTGCTATGTTGTCCAAGCTAGTCTCAAACTCCTAGCTTCAAGTGATCATCCCACCTCAGCATCCCAAAGTACTGGGATTACAGGCATGAATGACCATGCCCAGCCTCCTGCTGAGATCTAGAGAGAAGCAGTAGGTTCTTCTACAAAGACATGTGGTTCCAGCTGCAGAGAGAAAATAGTGCCTTGGTAAACCATGGAATGGCTTCTAACACTTCCACTCAGTTGTGTTTTGTGTCATATCTGCTCTTGTTCCATTCACTAAAGCAAGTCACACAGTAATGGGCATAGATGTTTAATTATGTTACAGGAAGTTAAAAGAGCAAGCAAATAATTGGGGAAACAATACAAATGCCATATACTGTCATTCCTGAACAAACATGATCGAGGAGCTCGACTGTGTTGATTGGTTTAGACCTTTTCAATTGACTTCACCCAAATCACATAGTCTTGAAGTTAGGGAAGATTATTCCCCCAAAGCAAATTTGAAGTATGTAAATAGATGAGGGAGAATTGTGACTGAGTAGAACAAAAATTTCTAGGAGGTCTGTTGTAATAAAATAATCACACTATAAGTCCAATAAAATAGCCTTAAAAAGAGTCTAAAATAAAAACCTTTATATCAATATTATTACGTTGTACAATCAGTTTAAGTGGAGAAAATCTATTTTGCTATGACTTTCCAAAACTCATAATTCTAATAAAAACTGCACAAACCAAATTTTAAGAGTAAGTATAGGCCGGGCTCGGTGGCTCAGCCTATAATCCCAGCACCTTGGGAGGCCAAGCTGAGAGAATTGCCTGAACCCGTGGGTTCAAGACCTGCCTGGGCAATTTGGCGAGACCTCATCTCCACTATAAATAAAAAACTAGCCGGGCGTGGTAGCGCGTGCCTGTAGTTCCAGCTACTTGGAAGGCTGAGGAGGAAGGATCGCCGGAGCCCAGAAGGTCGAGGCTGCGGTGGCTGGGAGCAGCCATTGCACTCCAGTCTGGGTGACAGAGTGAGACTTCAACTCAAAAAAAAAAAAAAAAAAAAGAGTAACTATAGTATAAAATTTAAGGCAAAAAAAAGTAAAACCTTTTACTGAAATATATATTGTCTGTATTAAATGCACAACCGTCTTCAAGCATTTATATCATATCCCCTCCTGAAATCAAGCAAGGGAGATTTAATTCTAAAGTATAGCACATCTGATTTTAATTATGTCCATAATACCCAAAATTAAAATGTGCAGATGCAGTCATATATGCTAAATAGGGAACAACTTTTTCCAAAGTCCTGGCCTGGAAAGAAATTGGAAAATTATCCAAGTAAAAATTAAACTCTTATGTCTGAATATGCAAATCAGATCTTTACTTAGCCCAACTTGTTCCCGATTTCTACACTGGATGTCAATGGATTTTTCCTTGGCTACCAAAAGCCAACTTCTTGGCCTGACTTCAAAGCTAGTGGGAGTGTCAGAAGTCTCATTTTTTTTAACCTGTGGAAATATCGTGTTTTGGAGAATTGACTTGTGGCCTGGGATTTATGGGTGACACCTCTCAACATTTGGAAAGGCTCAGCAAGGAAACCATGGGCATTTAAATAAAGTTGATTTACAAAATGATTGTCATACAATCCGAACATTTTATTAGAGAAGTGTTTCTCCCTCCAGAACCTTACACACACACACACACACACACACACACACACACACACACACACACAAAGAACTCACTGCTTCAAAGATAGAATAGTTCTGAACCCAGGGTCTATAAGTTAAACTCTGTTTATTACCTATTTAAGGACTTTTTTTCATTCTTCTGCTCTTCCATACTTCATCTTAGGCAAAATTGGCAACTACCATAACCCCCAAAGTATTTGATCATGATTAGTATAAACCAGTAATTTCATTTTCTTAATGAATAATTAGCCTAGAAGTAAGAATATGACCTAGTTCTGACTGATGAAATGCATGTACCCTGAGGTAGGGTATTAACATATAGAAGTTCATTGGGAACAAGTCTTCTGCTGTGACCTTCATTCCTTTTTGGAACATTGGATGGAGGAGGTGATATCTGGAACTGCAGCAGCTATTGTATGACCATGAGGTAACACATAAAAGGCTGAAAAGCATGCCAAGAATGGCAGAGCCAAGGGACAGAAAGAGCCAAAGTTCGTAGAGACATTGTAGAGCCACAGAACTAACCCCAGAACTTCCTGCTTTTAAATTTCTTATTTCACGTTTTTACTAATTAAGTCACTCAGATATTCAATTACTGGCAGAAAATGCCATCCTCATTGCCATAGCTACTTACTCGCGGTGTGACTTTGACCAAGTCATTCAACCGTTCAGGATCTTCATCTGGAGAACAGGGATGATGTGATCTTTCTGAGATGTCTTTGTAACTGTTTCTTAAGGTTATATATAAAATACATCTTGTACAATGCCAGAAGTTATTAATATAATCATCTTTCAATAATAGATGTGTGTGGTGGGTGATTCCAGAAAATTCTTGCTCATGGAGTAAATAGCTCTAGTATTAACACAAATAACAACCACTAGTATTAATGGAGCACTTGTTATGTATCAGACACAGTTCTAGGAACTGTACATGGATTGCCTGATTTAATCCTCAGGACTACTTTCTGATGTGTATATAATCCCCATCAAGAACAGAGAAGATAGCTGGGCTCGGTGGCTCAGCCTGTCATCCCGCGCTTTGGGAGGCTGAGGTGAGTGGATTGCCTGAGCCCGCGGGTTCGAGACCCGCCTGGGCAACTTGGCGAGACCTCATCTCTACAATAAATAAAAAATTAGCCGGACGTGGTAGTGCTCGCCTGTAGTTCCAGCTACTTGGAAGGCCGTGGCGGAAGGATCGACGGAGCCCAACAGGTCCAGGCTGCGGTGGCCGGGAGCGGCCACTGCACTCCAGTCTGGGTGACAGAGTGAGACTCCAACTCAAAAAAAAAAAAAAAAAACAGAGAAGATGAAGGCACAGAGACATTGGCCCTTAGATCAGCACACCCGTAAAGGGTAAAGTCAAGATTTAGACCCGGCAGTTTGCTCTGGAGCCCATGCTCTGTGGTCATGAGTTAGACCATCTACATTTCAGGCTCATCCCAAGAGCTCTTGGAGCTGATGCTTATTTTTCAGAAACACACTTGAATTAGATCAGGCCTACATGTGGAAACTCATTGTCCATGTTTGACTGCCAAGCCCCTCTCCTACTTGGCTCCAGCCTCAACCTGGTTTCCTGAAGATAGACTGAGTCCAACACTGGCAGCCCGGCAGCAGAAGCTTACTCACAAACATGTTTTGTTTGGCCAATTCAGTGTTTTTATTCTTTTAATGTCTTCAGATGGGACAACTTGACTGGAGTTCACCATTATCCCTACCACTTCTTTTTGTCTTTGGTCAATCCATGCTCATATTCCCTGTCTTTCTCCTAAAGACCTTTGAGTTTATAATTCCCCCAGTTAGACCCTTGATTATAAAAGGAAAATACTAGAAATCATGTCAATAGCTTAAGAAATGTAAGGTGGGACTAAACTACTGTGATTTCGTTGCCAAATTTCAAAGTATTCTTCATACTTATTTGTTGATGGGCACCTCCCTGCATCAGTTGACAATATAGAGACCAAGCGTTCTTCTTGATTTGGAAAATTGGAGTCATTTGCAAACCAATGATATATTCTGCATGAAGAAAAGGAAAATGGCTTCTCAGCAAACTGTATTTTGGGAAGTAATGAAGTTTATTTTCCCTACCCTCTGACATCAAGAACAAGCTCTGAGGAAGCAGGGCATCTGACCCAGCAAAGACAAATGCAAAGACACTTTTGGCTCTGGAGTGCTCTCCACGAAGGGAGGAGGTGGAAACCTTATGGTATAAAGGGCCAGATAGTAAATATTTTAGGCTTTGTAGGCCACATGTGACCTCCATCTCATATTTTCTATCTTTTGAAATATTTCTTACAATCCTTGAAAAATGTAAAAACCATCAGGCATGGTGGCACACACCTGTCGTCCCAGCTACTCAAGCAGTTGAAGTGGGAGAATCACTTCAGCCCAGGAGTTTGAAACCAGTGCAGGTACCATAGCAAGACCCAGTCTCTAAAAATAAGTAAATAAAATAATAAAAATGTAAAAATCCTTCTTAACCCAGGGGCCATACAGAAACAGGCACTGGTCTGGATTTGGTAGCAGTTCGCCAACACCTGCCTGATGAAACAAAGGAAATTATAAAACCCTCTCCTGGCCAATTCACTCTGTCCTGTTGTCTGGCAAAGGCAAGAAACTGTCCCAGACGTGACTGGGGCCCTGCAAAAATGGAGTAAGGCAATACAAAAGAACACAGGTTGGGGTCAGTGTATACTGGCTGGGGCCTTACATCCAAGCTCATTGCTGGCCCTCCCTTCTCCCCCACAGATATTCACTGGGCATTGAGTTCACCAGGTACCACACTGGGACCCTTAAACAACTCAGCCATCATTTTCTTGCCAAGTTCATTTGTCTTCTGAAAGCATGAACTTCAAATAAATAAAATGGCAAATGACAGGTCTGGAAGGAGGTGGGAGATAAGTTAATGGGAAGGTGAGTGAATTAAATTGAGTGACGTTTACACTCTCCTTTCTCCAAAGAGAACAGTCTCTCCACAGCTGCAGGAGAGCTAGGATGAGGCTGGATGGTGTCGTGGTTACCATCTCTAAGACTTAAGAAAACGATTATCCCTGATTTCTACACAGGCCAGGTATCATTTACCTTTGCAGCAGATTAAAGAGGTGGATTTCAGCCTGGGCAATATAGCAAGACCTTGTGTCCACAAAAAAATTAAAAAATGAGTTGGGCATGGTAGTGCACCCATAGTCCCAACTACTTGGGAGGCTGAGGTCAGAGGATCACTTGACCCCAGGACTTTCAGACTGTAGTGAGCCATGCCACTGCACTCCAGCCTGAGCAACGGAGTGAGACCGTGACTCAAACAAAAATGGTGGATTTATGAAAATGGAATGGGTATTGGGCATGCTCTGAAGGGCAGTCCACAAAAAGTTCCTCCGATCTGTGCCTAGTGTCTTCATGAGGAAGAAATTTTGCCACTTCAGTGTCAATGGGGCCATTGTTCAGAAGCTGGCAGTCTAAAAGCATGTTCGTTATACAGCATGGGTGTTGCTTCTCAAAGATGTGACTGGACTGTGTAAAAAGAGTCACAGAGTCAAACCTGTAGCAATTATGTGGGTGGGGGGCAACCAGGACCCCACTTTATAAAACATGTTTTGGGGGAATGTGTTTTTTTTTTCACTTTCTTATTACCTGGCAAAATAATCCAGGTGGTGTGTGAATCACCAGTAGAGATCATCAAATCGGAGGATGCAGAATCCGCCTTACAAACAGTGAACCTCAACGAAGGAGATGCTTCACCTGGACCCGCAGAAGTTAAGCTCAAAAGAGCAGACAGTAAAGCACCGAGAACCTCCCTGATGGCGTTTCTCAGGCAAATGGTAAGCCACTTACCTCTGGTACAGGAAACAGGAAATATGCAATTCTGAAAATGAAGGCCCCAGGCCCCCAGGTGATAGGAGCCATCACTGCAGCCAAGGTGCATAAGATAGGAACAGGTATGAGCTGGAGAAAACTCCCTTTCTCCTCATTCAACCACAGAAAAAGTCTCCATTTATTGCTAATATTCCTTAACCTTTCTTTAACTGCTGCTAACTCCATTTTAAACAAAGTGTTGGCCTTGGGTTCTGAGCTTTGGCAGATAACAGTGTCCACGTAGAAGTTAGTAATGTTGTTTACTTTTAATTTGATTTATTTTTAAAGTTTTCTTCTGTCGGTGGCCAATGATATTGCTTTTCTCGTTATGGTAATGATATAAAGTTTTCTTTGAAAATGCACTTATTTCCATAAAGAACATAAGGCATGTTTAAGGATTACATGCTAAGTAGTCCAAGTTATATATTGATGTGGCAGAAATTCTGGAAGTGACATGTGAGTGACACACATTTTGACAAAGCTGACTTATTGATAATTCAGATAAGGAAAATGACAAATATTCTAATAGTGAACATATATAACTTACGTGGTGAATTTGCTGTGCTTTTAATTTATACAGAATGGAAAGAATGTGGACAGACATCTTTTGGTATTTCTAAAGAGTCGTGTATACTAAATATCTAGCAGGAACTTAAATAATAGAATGCAACAAAACGTAAATCGTTTGGGGGACCAAAAACAGAAATCCATGTAAAAGGTCATTGGTTTAATTCTCTTTTAATGAAAAACAAGAATTTCATTACAGTGTGCCTTTATTTTCAGGAGCATTTAGGAGTTTAATCCCTTGAGAAAGCAATTCTCTAATTTCACAGGCTCAACCTGTTGAGGAATTCTTTCTAGTTCACAAAACACACCAAAACAAAACAAAACAAAACCCTTGCCAGAGGGAGCTGAGGCATATTAGGAATAATTATGTTAGAAATCATTGACAGGAATCATTTTCTTGTTAGATTCTCATAGAGTAAAAAGCACAGACTACATGGGATGCCCATATGTCTGAAGCCCCATCATTATCACCGGCCATTCGATCTGCAAATTGGTGCTGAAAATGGAGACTAAGATTTGAGATTTTTTTTTTAAATCAATTTCTACAAGATGCCAGGAAAGAAAAGAACATTTGGCCTGTTTCTGGCAACTCATCTAACTTACAAATGGGATCCCCAAATAGCTCATAATATTGAGGACACCCGCTTTCCTGTTTCTGCATGGAATTGAGGGATACAGAAAAAAAAAAAAAGCAAATAGGACGGCAGCCTCTTCCAAATAACCAACAAGAAGCTTCTTTATTTCACAGAGGGAAAAACACCAGAAATTCCAAATAAAGCATGAAAAAAAAAACCTCTCTAAACCATTCACTGCATCCATTCAAAACAAATTCCTAAGTTTGAATGAGGTCCAATATTACTTAAATTTATCCCCTAAAGCTATTTGTTAGATGTTGTTTAGGGAACTTTTTTGGCAATAGAAACTAGGCAAGTCTAAATAGTTAGGGGAACAAATTGGAAACAAAAGACTCCTTTGAATAAGGGACAGAGGTAAGTGGGGACTCATTTCTTCCAGTAATCCCCAGTAGATACGCGGTGTTGGATCTTATAATGTCTATTGTTCTTATTACCTATTGCCCATGAAAATGGTTAAACCTGGAAAGTGGAACGTTTTCTTCTAAAGTTTAAGCACTGCTTCCATGATTGTTGGAATTTCCCCTAAATTTCCAGATATCATAACTATTGTCTTTTTTTCTGTTTTGTTTTCATTAAAATCTTACATCTACATTGTGAAATACAAATACACAAAAGATGAGTTTTCCAACTTACCAAAGTCCCCACCACTCCCTATTGTGACACACAGCTCAGCTCACTCATTTGTGTCACTGGCCCTTTCCCTGTGGGTATTTGAGTATGCAACCCCTGATACAGAACCACCTTAATCTTCATAATATCTTCTTTGAGTTACATCATCTGGATTGATTCTACTCAGATTAATCACTGCTCTATTGATGGACATTTGGTTTAACTTTTTGCATCTCGTTCGTTCATTTATTCAAGAAATAATTATTGAAAGTCCATTATATCCCAGGCACAAGGGATACAGCCATGAGTATAAACAGGTGCAGTCTTTGTCCTCATGGAGAATAAAACCTAACAAAGAAAACAGACACTTATATTTAATTCTATCTTCAGTGAACAGTCACCAAGTGTCTTACACAGATTATCTCAGTAGCTCCACTGACCAGCATGAAGATCCTTGTATACCTACTTTTTATGCACACGTGTTAATATCCCCATTGGTGAGATTCCTGGAAGTTGGCTCCAACTGTTATTTTTAGGAAATACCTTTAGGTACCATGCCTGTGGCTTCCAAGCTGATTTAAAGTCTTTGTATTTATGCAGAAAGAATAAAGTCTGCTCTAAGGCTTGAAAATAGAGACAGTATCTGCTAAAAGTTTAGGGGGGAGTTTTTTTTAGTTAAATGAATGTTTCAAAAACATTTTGGATAGTGTTAGCAAAATATGGGTTTGTTTAAATAATTGATTTAATAGAAAACTCCATTGCAAAGTCTGTTTTTATTCAAGTTCTTCATCCATCAGAACATTTGTTTTCTACTTTCTAGACTTCTCCTCTTGTAAGTCTCTTTCACATATTTTAGTGTCCTATGGCAAAGTAACTCTCGATTAAGTTTTGTTTTTCGGCTTTTTAAAATTATTAATGCATCACCAAATGCATCGCCCAAATCATTTCCAAACAGATCCGTTCTTCCAAGAAATTAACCTCTCATAAGAAGAAAAATAGGGCTAGACATGGTGGCTAACACCTGTAATCCCAACACTTGAGCCCAGACGTTCAAGATAAGCCTGGGCAACATAGCAAGGCCTCGTCTCTAGGAAAATCAAAGTTAGCCAGGCATGGTGGCGAATGCCTGTAGTCTCAGCTTCTCAGGAGGCTGAGATAGAAGGATCACCTGAGCCCAGAAGGTTAAGGCTATGGTGAGCTGTGATCATGCCACTACACCACACCCTAGGTGACACAGTGAGATCCTGACTCTAATTAATTAATTAATTAAAAATAGAAAGAATGTCATTTTTCAAATAACTGTATTTTAGGAAAAGGGAAGCAGAGTCTTATAAGTGCTAATATTACTTCCATCATACATAGATGTACCACTTCTCAAAAATCCAGTGAACTCCTGCAGGCTTTCAAAATATTTGCAAGGACTATCCAAGACATCCGTCATGCCCTAAATAGAAAAAAGAATCTTATACATAGTAATTCAGTTGTGTGTTAAGAAACTGAATATTTGAAGTGCTAGCATAGGTTTATAAAGTGATGGGTTGGAGTGTGTTAGTCATGTGTCTACAAGCCAGATAAGGAGATAACATCTTAAAGGTGGTCAGTGGAAACACATAGATACAGGTTTACAATTTGTCGGCACTGATAACGCTTTGCACTTAGAAAGTGCTTTTCTCCTAACTATTTCCAAATACGTTATTTCATTTAGAGCTTAGTCTCTTTTGGGGGGAGCCATTAGTTTTGTATGAAAATCTTTGTTGGAATATTGTACAGGCCTAGAGAAATACTGTGAGCTTTAATATTGGACAAATTAATGGTGCAGTTGAGAAGACAACCATGAAATCAGTGGTTTTTGTTGATTATATTCAATCGAATAAGTCTAGTAAAACCTGTTGAGATTTCCTATATAAAGGAGAGAGCAAAGAGGGTGGTCTGTAATGGTAATTATAAAACAAAACACAGGAAACTCCTAGCCAAAGTTCTTGATCTCAGATACTTCTCCAAGTATTAAAATATTAATACATATTTGCTCTTTAAGGAAAAGTTCTGGAAGAAGCATTTATTTGGGCAATTCCTGTCTCCACCAGTGATTTGCATTTCTTCCTACCCTTAAAGGAGTACTGTACTCATTCAGTACTTTTCAGTTATTAATAGTCATAGCAATAGCTACCATTGGTTTATTGTGTGCCAAGCACATAGCACCCAGTGTATCATTTATTAATATAGGACCTTACGACACAAATGCTCTCCTTGGCTCACTGTGAGGATAAGAGCACAGAGACTTATTTATGTGGTTTTCCCATGGTCCTGGAGCTGGTAACCAGCAGAGCCAGAATGTCAACCCAGGTTTTTGTTTTATTGTTGTTCTGTTTATTCTAAAGCTCACCCTTTGACTTGCATGTCATTGCTGCTTCCTGTGCTTTTGCAGCTGATCTTCTTTGAGAATATGGAGGTAGGACAACCATGAGCTTCATTTTTGATCCCTTTATTAATGTGTTCTGTGGAAACCTCATTTTCATGTGTTGAGCTGTTGCACCTACTTAAAATGACAAGGCAAAAAGAAAAAAATTCAACCACGGTTACTTAAAGCTTGGATGTAACTTCTCTGAATATATTTGTCACTAAAATAAAATTTACCTGAACTGGGGAATTTTGCCTGACTAGTCCAATTTCATTTCAAGTGAGCATCTTGGTAGAACATGAAGTTCAGACCCATAACTTTTGTTGATCTGGAAATTTCTAGTAGATCCACTTCCTCAGATTTGTTGCAATGAGGCTGAACTGGCAAACAATATTGCTGATATATTCACCCTGTATTAAATTTTCATCCCAATTCTTTTTCTTTGAAATTTCAACTTTGGGTGAACTCTATTGCCATCAAAATACATTTACATTCCTTTCAAAGAAACGTGAACTGACCACCAAACATTTCTGCAGTTTTGAATATCTCTAAGAGATATATATTGAAGATGTTTCAGACATTCCTCAGAGTATCAAGCTACAGGAATGCATAAAACTACGAAAGAAATTTTAAAAAATCACTTCATTAATATGCAAGGCTTGGATGCCACAACCAAATCCCATCTCAAAACTGCAGGCTGAATGCCTGGAGATGCTTCACCTTTGACTCTCAATGAATAAAAATAAACTCCATAAAGAAAGTTGTTCGGTATCACACTGGAAAATCTCTGAAATTACTTCATAGTCTTTAAAGTATTAAATGGTCTCTGAAAGAATTTTAGTCTCTTTAAACAGTAACTTTGTTATTTTTGACAGCTGGAAAAAATAAGCTTCTGTGGTTATGGTTTTCTGAATACAAAGCTCAACGTGGATTATTCGGATTTGTCCCTGAAAGAGAACTCTGCAAAGAAAAAAAGAAAGGATAGAAAAAGGAGGAAAGGGAGAGGAAGAGGGAAGGAGGGAGCAGGAGGGATGCAGGAGGGAGAGAGGAAGGGAGGGAGGGAGGAAGGAAAGGGTAAAGGAGGGAAGAATTGTTATTAATAGTAACTGCTATTATGGAAGTGACCTCAGATGGACTTCATCAAATCTAAACTCAGCACACAGTCACTTCTGCATACCCACAGCTCTGCGTGCCTCAAGCTGATCAAGAGGAAAATCACTGGGGAAAAGCTGGAGATGCTCTCCTTTTCTTTTAAGAGGCTGAAGGTTTTGCAGTCATCTCCCTCACACCCTGAAGGTCTGTTTTCATGATGTGACCTGAGCTCCCCAGCTGCCAGTAGAACCTTCCACGGTCTCCCACGGGCTCTCAAAGAAAGGGAGGGAGAGAAAGCAAATTGAAACCTTAAACTGGCAGAGTCCCTAGCAGAAACCAAGTTGAAACAACTAAAAGGAAGCTAAAAATCCCTCTTTGGGGGCATAAGAGAACTTTATTTTCTAGAAGGTGATGGAAGAGCGATGCCCAACTCCTAATGTCCACTCAATTTTTGCTTTAAAAACCATCTTGTTCATTTGCTTGTTTTTTGTTGCTCAATATTCCCCAAAAACTGACTCATGTGAACACGAAGCTATATGCTACAGGCCACTTGGGGATGTATTAGCATGGGAAGGGCTCTTATGACACAGCCTGAATTTTGGAGCCTGAATGAAGTCCCGAAATATCTAAACCCTCCGGCGTGGTGGGCAGACTGACAGAACTGGCCGTGTTAAGGGAAGTCATACCCAGAAGAATCCACTTCTTTTTCTAAACCTTCTCAAGCAAGACTGGCCTTTGCAGGACAATGCAGAAGACCCAGAGGACAGAAAAACCGCTTTCCAAGTAAATGGATCTAAATTTTATGTAGCGGACGACTGATCTTTGCCTTTGGGTTGAAAACCTTAGTAAAACCCATGACATTGATGTTTCTAAGTGTCATGAACTTCCAAACACCACGTCTTTCATTCCTAACCAATCAAGGTGTACGTGTTAAGGCTCTACCCTATGCCAAGCTCTATAAATGTTGTCTTTAAGTGTAGAGAAGTACATAGGAATCTACATGCTGTGTTAAACAATCAGTAGTCCTAGTCAAGTCTTCCAAATTGGAGACTAGCACCAGCCACTATCTAAAAAGAGAACATGAAGGCGGGCTGCGCCTTTGGGAGGCTGAGGTGAGTGGATTGCCTGAGCCCGCGGGTTTGAGACCCACCTGGGCAGCGAGACCTCATCTCTACAATAAATCAAAACATCAGCTGGGCGTGGAAGTGCATGCCTGTAATTCCGGCTACTCGGAAGGCTGAGGCAGAAGGATCGCCAGAGCCCAGCAGGTCGAGGCTGCAGTGGCCGGGAGCCACCACTGCATTCCAGTCTGGGCGACAGAGTGAGACTCCAACTCACCAAAAGTAAATAAATTAATTAATTTAATTTAATTTAATTAAAAAAGAACGTAGTGCTTCTGCAAACCCAGTGCTTTCAGAGGTCAAGGTGGGAGGATTGCTTGAGACCAGGAGTTTGAGACCAGCCTGGGAAACCTGGCAAGACCCCCATCTTTACAAAAATATTTTAAAATTTAAGAACTAGCCAGGTATGGTGGTTTGCCTGTAGTCCTAGCTACTCAGAAAGCTGAGAACGGAGGATCCCTTGAGCCCAGGAGTTTAAGGCTGCAGTGAGTTATGATCATCCCATTCCCAATCATGCCAAAGTTTCTAATTCAGTAGATCCCGAGTGGGTTTCCAGAATTTACATTTCTAGCTGGTTCACAGGTGATGCTGAAACTGCTGGTCCTGGAATTTTTTTTTTTTTTTTTTTTTTTGAGTCAAAGTCTCACTCTATTGACCAGGCTAGAGTGCAGTGACACAACTACGGCTCATCACAGGCTCATCCTCCTGAACTCAGATGATCCTTCTGCCTCTGCCTCCTGAGAGGGACTACAAGGATATAGCACCGCGCCCAGTTAATATTTTTACTTTTTGTAGAGAGGGTCTCACTATAATGCCTAGACTGGTCTCAAACTTCTGGGCTTAAGCAATCCTCCTGTCTCATCCTCCCAAAGTGCTGCGATTTACAGGCGTGATCCATGGTGCCCAGCCCTGGAATGATACTTTTAGAACCATTAACTTAGAGTGTGGGGTTTAACGAGTCAAAGTCAACCTCACCCAGCCCTGTCACCCAGCCCTGCCACAGAGGCACTAAAAAATGGAAAATGAAGTAAGTGCCTGACAAGACTCCTATCACTACTGGGGGAAAATACAACAAAACATCCACTGCCTAACTCTTACCAGTAAAGACTACTAATGGGTGCATTGTTCATTCATTTACTTTACCAACCACCTTTTGGTTCCAACATTAATAGTTTGGTGATCAGCCGGCTCAGTGGCTCAGCCTGTAATCCCAGCGCTTTGGGAGGCTGAGGTGAGTGGATTGCCTGAGCCCGTGGGTTCGAGACCCGCCTGGGCAACTTGGCGAGACCTTATCTCTACAATAAATCAAAAATTAGCTGGACGTGGTAGCGCACACCTGTAGTTCCAGCTACTTGGAAAGCTGAGGCAGAAGGATTGCCGGAGCCCAGCAGGTCGAGGCTGCGGTGGCCGGGAGCGTGCCACTGCACTCCAGTCTGGGCGACAGAGTGAGACTCCAACTCAAAAAAAAAAAATAGTTTGGTGATCATTTATTTACAACAGAATTACCTGACTTGGGGATTAGGACTTTTGTCTTTATTTGGGGAGGCCAACACTTGAATTTAATCTGACTCTGGTTACTGATTGCATGGAAATCTGTGTATCTCATAAGTAATATGTTTCCCATTGGTCTTGCCCTTGTCGTGATTCTGAGTCTCAATGATAAATGACTGAGGTCATCCATTTCAGAACTTCTTTGCATGCTCCATGTCGCTTGTGCCTGTGATGGCTGAAAGGTCATTGTCTGTTTGTTATTTTAGTCAGTGAAAAGGGATGAAGGGAACACCCACTCAGAAGAAATAAATGGGAAAGATTCCAGCTACCAAGTAAGTGACCTTGAACTCAACGTGATGGTGGGGTGAGTTGGCGTATTCTCATTTCTTTCCAGCCTTGTTTTCAATGGAATTCTAAGCCACAGCCAACTCACTTAACATCTTGGGCTTAAGCACCCACTGTATAACAAGCTCTGTGCTGGGCCCTGGAGATACAGGCATGGACAAGCTGAATGTCTTAGCTACTTCCTGCTCAAGGCTTCTCACACATGTTCTTCCCTCTTTTCCACATGGAAAATTCCTTCTCATCCGTCACCTCTTGGCATAAATATCCCCTCCTCATAGAGACCTCCCATGCCCACCTGTCATTACTATAGGTGGGCATGTATTTGCACTTGTTGGCACTTATCTTATTTTGTAAATAAAATACAAGTGGTAATCATTTCTTTGTCTCCCCAGTCCCTTCCCACCTACGCCTGGAATGTCTGTGAAGCAAGGAGTGGCATCGCTTTTTCCATCACATTGCATGGTGCCTGGCACATAGTACGACCTATTTCTCAAAGAGATTAAAGACATGGGTCACGCAGTTCACTTCCACTATTTTCTCTCAGGAAACATAGTTATGACGTGTATAACTATATGTGTTCTTTTTAAAAATGAGATCACGCGTGACACCCTATTTTATAACCTACATCTCTTTTTTAACTTAAAAATACATCTGCACAAAAATGGCATCAAATATTCTTCTAGTAGTTTTGGCTATGTAACATGGCAAAGTGCATGAGTTGTAGATGCAAACTGTCTGGGTTCAAATCCTGGCTCAGCCATTTTTTTAGCTGTGTGACTTAGGCAAATGATAAAATCTCTCAACACTTCAGCTTCCTCATCTATATAATGGAACCAAGAAAAGTACTCATAGGGTTGTCATACTTAAATGAGTCAATACATGTAAAACACTTAGAACACTCCTGGTTCAGAGGGTTCAATACATTTTAGCTGTTGCGTTAGCATGGACTGCTGTAACAAAATGTCATAGATGCTTATCAACAGAAATTTATTTTCTCACAGTTCTGGTGCCTGGATAAGACAAGACCAAAGGGCCAGCAGGGTTTGGTTCCTGGGGAGGGCTCTCTTCCTGGCTTGCAGATGGCCACTTTCTTGCTGCCTCACATGGCAGACAGAGATAAAGAGAGCTCTTTGGTGTCTCTTCTAATAAGGACACTAATTCCATTGGATCAGGGTTGTACTCTTGTACCTTCATTTAACCTTAATTCCAATTCCAAATACAATCACATAGGGGGTTGAGGTGTCAACATATGAATGTGGGGGTACAATTCAGTCTATAGCAGTTTCTATTTGTTATTATTACTGCCAATTTGTTAGTACGCCACTGAGAAGGAATTACCATCCTATAATATTGCTCATACACAAATGGACTCACACACAAATGGACAACAGTGACTAGGTTATAATATTTCTATTTCTATAATAATTGGTTTATACTATCTATTTAAATAGAGAATGTATTCATTTTTGCTACATTCATTTTTTTTAAGTTATTGCTATGCCTGGTCCTCAAATCCTTTCTTTAGACCACTTTGGAGTCAAAATATCCAAAGGCTACTTACTACCATGAGAAGATGATAAAATCACTTTTTTCAAAAAGAAAAACTTAAATGTGATTGTACATTTTGTTTTGACTTTTACAGTGAAACAGTTATGCTAATAATTTTGGTGATTCTAAAATAGGAGTTATGTCTGTGAAAACCCAAACAAACTAAAATTCTCATTCTATTTATACTCACCCAGGAGTGTTTTAAGAATCTAACTGGGGATTTTGTTTTTCAGGACCTTGGATTCAGACTTGAGAACACTGGTGTGTCCTTCCCATTCTTAACTAATTTAATCCTCACAGCACCACATGGTGCCATTTCTTTTATTACCCCTATGCAGATGAGGAAACTGAGAGGTCAGTGTATTCCAGGTCACAAAGTAAGGATGTGATGGAATCAGAATCAAGCCAGGTCCCTCTGACTCCAGACACCGAACTTTTAGCCACTCATTGCATCTTGAAATCCTCAACACCACAAAAACAATGACCAAGGTGTTTGAACTGGGGTCTCTGGCCTTTCTGAAAAGCATCGGGCTGAGAGTTTCTGTTTCATTCTAAGGAGGGAACTTGCTCAGGGCTGTGGATTGCACTTGGACATCCATTGCTTAGCATTTGCTGTCACTTTGGCCTCTGACAGAAGTATTCAGGACGTGCGAGTACAGAGCAGCTTTTCAGGGCACACTGGAGGTGTGATGTTCTTTCTCCAAGGACTTCTACCCTCTGGAGAGTGCCTGTGGAGACCTACAGGACTGGGGCACCTCATCTGTTTGTCCTCACGCTTATTTCTAAGGGCTGTGCATGATTCCACTGTGTGAACTGACATCTCTCTTTTAATGGCTGCCTTTTCTACTAACACTGCTGCCTTCTCAGAATTGTCCACCTGGGGATCGTGCATAACTTTATGAGGCAGGGTTATAAACATGTATCCAGTGGGTCAAATGTATTTGCCAGTTGTTTGCCATAATCAGGGCTTTGAAACTTTTTGAAGTCAACATTTAAAAGTTGACATAGTTTGCATTTTTAAAAATTCAAGGCCAGGCTTGGTGGCTCAACCTGTAATCCCAGCGCTTTGGGAGGCTGAGGTGAGTGAATTGCCTGAGCCCACGGGTTCGAGACCCGCCTGGGCAACTTGGCGAGACCTCATCTCTACAATAAATCCAAAAATTAGCCGGGCAGGGTAGCGTGTACCTGTAGTTCCAGCTACTCGGAAGGCTGAGGTGGAAGGATCACCGGAGCCCAGCAGGCTGAGGCTGCAGTGGCCAGGAGTGTGCCACGGCACTCCAGTCTGGGTGACAAAGTGAGACTCCAACTCAAAAAAAAAAAATTCAATGTTAAGGTTTCACTGGAAAAAAACAGAAGATCTGGCAGCCCTGGGACTGCAAGCTTGCAACTGTTGCTCCCTGGGATGGGACATGCAATTCAGTTTACTACAGCCCTCACTAATCCACATTGTCTCCCTAACATCAAAGCCAGCACTGCTTGAACTGGTGGTCTTCTTATGCAGGAGAAATATTTCTTTGGGCCTATCTTCCTTCTACAGCTGAAGGAAATATCTCCACGTAATTATTCTTACCTCTAGCCTCCTTTCTGTTGTTACCTCAGCTTTCTGGACCCCACAGGCATTTCCATTCAAGTAAATTACGAGAAAGGGGTTTCCACTTCACAGATTTTCTAGAATTTTAGATTTTACAGCCTCATCCTTCCAAACTATAGGAACCTAGTAGGATAGTAAATCTTTCATTTGGGCAAAGAAAAATAGATATTCAAAACCAAAGATACAACAATCATCTTCTTTCATGACCATTTCATGAAATGAAAAGACAATTTCACACCAAAAATTAAGACAGATGTAATCAAGAAGAAAAGAATGGGCATCCCCAAGAAAAAAGTCACATGTGGTTGCAAATGGGAGTTCTTCTCTCAAAGCTGGTTTAAGCATGTAAGGGATTCAGGAAGAGCTAGATCCAGGAGGCACCCTCAGTATCCTCAGTTCCTGGTCTTCCCCTCTTTCTCTCTTTCCGCATCTCTCAGCTCTACTTTTCTCTGTGCTGACTTCCTTTTCAGGAAGGTTTTCCTTAGAAATGGTGGTGGCTCTGAAAGTGCCAATCTTATCTCTTCACAGCTTCAGATCCAACAGAAAGGGAGCAGGCCTCTCTCGTGATTATTTTAGGGAGGCTCTAAGACTAGCTCAGGTTTTATCTGTTTGCCCACGCTGAGCTAATCACCGCAGCCCAATCGTAGGCAATGCTCTGATTGGCCAGGTCTGAGTCACGTCCCTTGTCCAGGGATGGAATTAGTCTGCTTCAGCTGCAGGGTGTGGATGAAGGAGAAGACGCTTCCCTAAGGAAAAGTCACGTTTCAGTACCGGAAGAAGGGGAAGGAATGCTTGCTGGGAAACAATAAAATTAATTGATTGGATTGTTAGATAAATAAATGTCCCCTATCATGGCCTTGAAACATGATAAGTGCACATATTTCTTTTCTTTTTTTTCTTTCATTTCACCCAGGATTCATGAAAACTTATATACCACTCCACAAGATATGTTTTGCTTTAACATATTTACTTCCCTGCTATTGAGAGTTGTCTTGCCGCCCTAAAAATATGCTTTGTTTGAAATTGCTGTAGACATCAGACTCGACAGAAAAGGCGGTCACACCACCAGAGCCCGAACCGACAGGAGCAGTTCAGAAGGGCAAAGAGGGCCCCTCTAAGGACAAGAAGGCGGCAGCAGAGACGAACAAGCAGAAGAACCACAAGCAGGAAGCCAAAGAGCCTGCCCAGTGCACCGAGCAGGCCACGGCAGATGCGAACTCGCTGCAGAATGGGGACAAGCCCCAGAAGAGACCTGAGAAGCAGCAGCAGTCCTTCAGGGGCTTCCTCAAAGGCCTGGTAGGTGGAATTTTTGCCTCTTCTTTCTGGGGTCTTGGGCAAAGAGTGTGTGTGGGTCTCACTTTCTTTCTTTTTTTTTTTTTTGAGTTGGAGTCTCACTCTGTCGCCCAGACTGGAGTGCAATGGCCACTCCCGGCCACTGCAGCCTCGACCTGCTGGAATTACAGGCACGCGGTACCATGCCTAGCTGATTTTTTTTTTTTTAAATTGTAGAGATGAGGTTTCGCCAATTGCTCACGTGGGTCTCGAACCCGCGGGCCCAGCCAATCCACTCACCTCAGCCTCCCAAAGGCACGGGATTACAGGCTGAGCCACCGATCCCGGCGGGTCTCACTTTCAAAGAGGACAGATTGGAGAGAGGCTGGCTGGACGCTGGGCAAGCAAAGAGTACCTGCTGTGTGCCAGGCACAGAGAGTGGAGTAGGCACCCATGGCTGTCCTGGAACCCACTATCAGGGGCAGGATTGATGGGGGCATGGGTTGAGTGTGGGCAGAACCAGGAGGGGAGGAAGACAGGCCAAGGGAGGCCTGGTCTGGCTTTGGGTTGGAGAAGAGTGACCAGGAAGGCTTCTCAGAAAAGATGACGTGGAAGGTTGGACTCCAACTCAGCCTGCAGAGGAGGCAAGGGGAGGACTGAGGACGGAGTGTTTTTGGCCGCGAGAACAGGTGCAAAGGAGGGATGGAGAAAAGCAAGGGACTGAAGTTCATTCTGACTGGAATAGGGAACACAAGGATGGAGAGGTTGGCAAGGAACAGTTGATGCCTGTCCGCCTGGGGCCTCGAAGAGGGCAACTTCTCTGAGCCTGATCCTGAGTGTTGGGTATACAGAAATTAGTAAAGCACAGCTCCTGCCCTCCAGGATTTCACAGCCTAGTGGGAGCCAGACACTAAATAATTAATTGCTACATGAAGTTGCTACCTCAACCTTGGCACCGTTGACACTTCGGGCTGGATATTCCTTTGTTGGAGGGGCCTGTTCCTGCATTGTAGGACATTTAGCAAATTCCTGGTTTCTACCTGCAATATCCCAGATGTGGCAATCCAAATTGTGTCTAGACATTGCCAAATTTCCCCTGGGAAATAAAATCACCTCAGTAAAGAATCATTGGATTAGATCTATCCCTCCTATGTGAGATAGCCACATGAGCTTTTGCAGTTTTTATGTCTTTTTTTTTTTGGTCTCCTTCCCTAGACTGTCAGCTTTAGGAGACGGTGAACATGTCTGTTCATGGACTGACATGTTGCCCTCCCTGGGATGGTGGCTGGAATATAGAGCCAATAAGTATTTGTTGAATGAATGGATGAAGGACAAATGAACAGATAATGGGTGGGTGGGGTGAGTGGGTGGATGGATGGGTGGGTGAATGGGTGGGGTGGATTAATGGATGGATGAATGCATGGATGGACAAATGAATGGGTGGACAGATGGATGGATGGGTGGGTGGATGAATGGATGGATGGATGGAAAAATGAATGGATGGGTGGGTAAGTAATAGATGAATAGATGGATGGATGAATAGGTGGATGGATGGATGGAAGGAATGGAACACGATACCACTAAACGTTTATGTATACATGAGATCTTATAAATTCTGGCAAACAAGAAGAGTCTAAAGGGTTATTACTCAAATTATAAGCAAGGTGATCAAGCATAAACTAGGAGGAGAAATAAGCAAAGTCATACCCAGGACCCAATAAAATGTGGGTTGAGCCAGGGAGCAAGACAAGAAATAACACTGACATATGCAGCGGGCCAGGGAATTAGGTAGGTCACAGGGTTAGAATGAAGATGAAATGAGGTGATATGCAGTATCCTTGCAGCAATGCCTGCTGTGGTTTAACTGGTCAGGAAAGACTGTTGCGTGATGACTACTTGATCAGCCCTACCCTAGGTTGTGAGGGTAAGAGATGAGTAGGTTACACTGTAGCTTGAGGAGATTGTACTCTGATCACTGCACCAGGTGATCCCAACACAAAGCAAGAGAGTGGCTGGGAACTGCCGACACCCACCTCAGGTTCCAGAGACCTGAGACAGAAGCCAGTGCCACCACCTACAAGTAGAAACATGATCTGAGTGACTTACGCTTATGAGACCCCAGTCGCCTCCTAGTAGTAAAAGTGGTGATGGATCAGCTTCATAGGCTGCAGGGAGGACCAGGTGAGATTGCAGCTAAAAGACCACACAGATAGGCCAGGAGCAGTGTTTCATACCCCAGGGCTTTGGGAGGCCAAGACGGAAGGATAATTCAAGCTCAGAAGTTTGAGACCAGCCTGGACAACATTGCGAGAACTCATCTCTATAAAAAATCAAAAAATTACCTGGGTGTAGTGGCATGCACCTGTAGTCCCAGATACTTGGGGGGCTGAGGTGAAGGGATCATCTGAGCCCAGGAGGTTGAGGCTGTGGTGATCATGCCACTGCACTCCAGCCTGGGCAAAAGTGAGACCTCGACTCAGAGAGCAAACAAACAGACCTCACAGATGAGGCAATGGGCCCACAGGGATGAGGGACTGATTGGAGGTCACGAGGCCAGAGGGGATTGGAGCAGTCCTCAAACCTGTGGCTGACTTCTGAGCCTAAGCTTTCAGTGTCCCATGGTGTCCTAGTCACTTTTATAGTCCCAAAGACAAGCACCATGTGTCAGATGCAGTAGGTATTCAACGTATGTTGTTAACTGAATGACTGAATCTGACTACCATCACTAAAAATAATGACAGTAACTCTTTTATAGCACTGACTATGTGACAAAGCACCGTACGAATGATAACAGTACAGTCATGCTGTGAACTCTCATTTTACCAATGGTGAGATTAAGGTGCAGAGGGTTGGGCAACTTAAGCAAAGTCACACAGCTAGGAAGCAGCAGCGCTGGGGTTCAAAGCCCAGCAATCTGATTCCGTGGTAAATTACGCTATACTACACAGTATATACTTATATTATACTACCCTGTATTATCTAATCTATATATACTATAGGGCACCACCCTATATGTGTAATGCACACACACATGCACACACACACACAATATGTATATGCCCTATGGACATTATATACACTCTATATTTATTATACTATAATATACTATTTTATATATTATCTAGTCTGTATTATACTATGTATATTCTGCTACTTATAGTATATATAGGACTAGATATCATGTTATACTATACTATACTTACTATACATGCTATATTTACCTTTTTTTTTTTTTTTGAGTTGGAGTCTCACTCCATTGCCCAGGCTAGAGTACAGTGGCACACTCACAGCCACCCCAGCATTGACCTGCTGGCCTCCAGTGATCCTTCCACCTCAGTATTCCAAATAGCTGGAACTATAGGCATGTGCTACCATACCCGGCTAATGTTTTTTTTAAAAAATTTTTTGTAGAGACGAGGCCTTGCCAAATTGCCTGGGCTGGTCTCAAATCCGTGGGCTCAGACAATCCACTCGCCTCGGTCTCCCAAAATGCTGGGATTACAGGCTAAGCCACTGAGCCCAGCCTATTTACCAAACTTGATTATGCAATACACATATACTATCATATTATATATTATATTATGTTATATTATACTGTATTATACTATGTATATTCCACTACCTTATATACATGGCACTATATGCATATACTATACTATACTATATATACTTTATGATAGTATATTATACTACCCTGCACTATACTATATATAGGGCTATATATATCACGTTATACTATACTTTAATGTATTTACTAAACATGCTATATTTACTATACTTGACTATACAATACACATATGCTATATAACCTATTACATTATATAAACTATACTATATTTATTAGGCTATAATATGCTACATGTGGTGTAGTAAATATCATACTGTTCTGTATTATACTATACTATGTATCTTCTACCTTATATACATGACACTACGTGCATATACTATATATACTTTATGATAGTATATTATACTACCATGCTCTATACTATACTCTATATAGTACTATATATCATGCTATACTATACTATAATGTACCATATTTGCTGTATTATACTATGCCATGCTATATTTACCATTCTTGGCTATACCATTTACATACACTATATATAACCTATAATATTATTTATACTATTATTTATATTATTATGCTATAATATACTATATATAGTGTATTTTGTATCATACTGCTCTGTATTATATTATACTATGTATATTCTACTACCTTATATACACACTGTATGCATATGCTATATTATATATACTTTACACCCTATACTATACTCTATAGTACTATCTATCATGCTATACCTCACTCTCCTGTACTGTATTTGCTGTATTCTACTATGCCATGCTATAGTTACCATACTTGACTATACTGTATACATATACTATAAAATATGCACTATCCTATACTATCTATTTATACTTCACCAAATATACTTTCTCATACTACTCTGTGCTCTCTCTTTGGTGTGTGGTGTAGACAATCTTCTGTTATACTGTGCTACCCAATGCTGTAAAGGGGGGGCGGACAGTACCAGCCCCCTGATCCACACAGCCACATGGGTGACTCTCACTTCCCCCAATGCTGTGTGAAAGCAGTGAGATTAAAGGCTCTGCATTCTGATTCCAGGATGCGACACCCGGACAGGAAGCACTCTAGGTAGGATGCAGAGTGGATCCATGGTTGTCAGGGTCTGCAGAGGCAAGCAACTGACTGGGGACACAGGGACGATGTGGGTGCGATGGAACCACGTGATGCTGACTTGGGTGGTGGTTACATGACTCTCTGTGTTGCTCTAACCTCATAGGACCATGTACACAAAGGGTTACTTTTACTTTTTATAACTTGTACTTGACTAAGAAGGTAGTAATAATAATAGTACCAGGGCCGGGCTCGGTACTTGACTGAGAAGGCAAAACAATAATAATAATTTCAGGCCCAGGCTCAGAAGTAATCCCAGCACTTTGGGAGGCCGAGGCAAGTGTATTGCCTGAGCCCTCGGGTTCAAGACCAACCTGGGCAACTTGGCAAGGCCTCATCTCCACAATAAATCAATAATTAGCTGGGCTTGATAGCGTGCCCAGCTAATTATTGATTTATTGTAGAGATGAGGTCTCGCCAAGTTGCCCAGGCTGATAGTTCCAGCTGTAGTTTCAGCTACTCGGAAGGCTGAGGCAGAAGGATCGTCGGAGCCCAGCAGGTCCAGGCTGCGGTGGCCAGGAGTGTGCCACTGCACTCCAGCCTGGGCGACAGATACCCATAAGGCACAGGGGACATGGCAGACAGAATCCCTGAGCTTGCGTTCAGGTGGAGGAGATAGACAGCATCAGACAAATAAAATAGATAATACAGTCACTGCAGAGAGTGATGTGTTTTGTGAGAAACTAAAGGTTGACATAACTGGATGGTGACTGAGGAGGGAGCTCCAAAGTGAGGGAGAATGGGGGTCCACACCTCAGCCTCTGTCCTAAGTGCATTATAGGTATGACCTCACTTTCCTTGGGAATAAGCCTCTGAGATAACTTCTGCCCTTCCCATTTTCAAGATGAAGAAACCAAAGCACAAAGAGCTATGAGGTGTGTCCAGGATTTCACAAAGCTACCCATAGTAGAACCGGGCATTGAACCCAGGCGTCTGATGGGAGATCATTTCCTCATCCATCACTCAGAAGCAAGCCAGATTCATGTAGCTCAGTGCCCAGCACAGAGCTAAAGAAGCAGTCATGGTTGCTGTGGCTAGTACAGATTTTCAACAGGCTGCAACCTCTTTCTGTTTTCCTGCAGGGACCAAAGCGGATGTTGGATGCTCAGGTGCAAACGGACCCAGTCTCCATTGGACCAGTTGGCAAATCCAAGTAAACAAATCACCACAATCCCTACCCAGTTCTTCTGCCACCAAGATGTTTTCCCTAATCCATCTCCTCCCCAGACACGCTCCATGTATATATTCTTCTGAAGGCCATCCAGCGAAATTCTGCCTACAAATTAAGCCCAAGCTCTTGTATATTGAGGTGTATTATTTACGTCTCTGGTGCAGTCTTTTCTGGCAAATAGCTGTAAAGATGGTTTAGCAGGTTACCTAGTTAGGTGAAGAGAATCGATGATCCCCAAGCAGGGAAGGAACGGGATGGAGGAATGTGTTCACGTTAAGTTACCAAAAAAAAAAAAAAATGGCAGTGGCAAGTTAAGTGGCAGAATAAAAATGCCTGCTAGAAGGAATTAAGCTTTGGAATAAACACATGCTTATCCTCTAAAATAAAAGAGAGGCGGCGAAAATCCATTCGTTTAAATTCACATTTCAAGGAGGGAGAATCAGGGTTCTGTGCTGGGCGGTTGCCAATTTCCTGGAATGGAATGTGCGGGGTATGACAAAGGAATGAATAAGAGTTGTTTTTCAAATAGAGTCCTTGAGAGTTATTGATGAGAGGGAAAATATGGACTGGAGAGGGCTTAAAGTGATTTGGGAAAACAATTGCTTCTGAGGCTCAGTTGATGGGCAAGAATTACAACTTCAAAAAAACCAAACCAAAACAAATAAAGTTGCAGTTTTATCTTGCAACACAAGGAGGCGCCAAGGTCTCCATTTTTATCTTGCATCCTGTATCCCTAACAAAGATTTGGTCTCTGCGATCTTACATTATTAATGTTTCTCAGATGGCTGAGGGGCTTGCTTCATCTGTTCTGTCTGACACTTATCTCAAGTGTGTCTGTAATTTCCTAATGTTCTCACGATGTGCTCTGATAAATCCCTCTCCATAATCTCAGTTAATAAAAATTTACAGATTATTCAAACACCTGAGTTTTTTTTAATACTTGTACATAGGAGTAAATAGGACCATGAGTCTATTAAAATGTAATTCAATGTAGCATGATTGACTGACAGTCATGTACACTGTATCTTTCTTTTTTGATTTAATTAAAAAAAAGACATTTACTTTTAAAGTATCTTTTAATTTTCAACCTTTCAAAGCAGTCCGGACACTATGTCTGGGATGGCTTTTCATCTACAATATAAAATCCATATTGTTTCTCCTATATCTTCCTTTGGAACCAGATTCTCCCCCAAATCCTTCTAGATTTCCTTGGATATAGGCACACACACACAAACGTATGATTGCACACATACACATGCACACACATATAGAAAAGTGCTGTCTAAGCCAGGTTGCCTGGTGCAGAGCCCAAGACAGGCATTCGGATGCAGGGGATATGTGAGGGTGTGCTTCAGGGGAAGGGTGTCAGAGAAAAGGAAGACCAGGAAGAAGTTGGGCAGGGACTAGTCTCAGCTGGTGCATGAATTGCAGCACACAGTTGATTGGACCTTAAGGTAAGGGGACTGACCTTTGAACCCCTTAGGTGTACGTGAGTCTCCCAGCTGCCCTGGGAAGTGGGAAGATGGTCGAGCTGCTCCCACTGAGGTGAGAAGCTGGAATTCCTAAGCAGGGAGAGGATGTGTGTCCACTACAGATACATACATGTATGTTCAGATATGTATTTCTACCCACATTTGCATACATAGGGACACAATCATATGTAAAGATATGTATCATATGCAGGAACAGATGCATACATGCTCAAAGTCATATTCACATACAAATACACTAACATGTAACTAACACAGATCCAAACATACATCTTAGCTCCTACAAATCTATCCCATCTGCAATTCAAATGTTGATTGGAAATCGACTTGAAATATCCTCTCCTGACCTAGAGCTAGAATATACAGACAAGTATGCCCCTTAGGCAAAAATGGCACCATAGCTTGGACAAATAGGCATTTGGAAAATGTGTTAGAAAACATTGGTATCTCTAAAAACTCAGATTTAAATGGGGAGGAGGTCCCAGGGCTGCAAGGATCTGCCAGCTCCCACCGTGGCCTGGCTGAATTCTAGGTTTCAGATAAGGGCCAGAGAGGTCTCTTTCTTGTGTCTGGGTCAGCTTCTTCAGACCTCCTGGAGATGACTCGCGTCTGTGTCTCTCCGGTTGAGAAAGATCCCATGCTGCTTCTTGGTAGAATGTTCAACTTGCAGGAAAACACCCCTTGGGGAAACCTTGGGTGGAGGGACACTTTCCCTCCACCACTACCATCATCAGAGCAGGAATGGTCGAGGTAGCCAGGCAGCTGCTAGTCTTTTATCTCCAAACACCACGGGGTGGTGGGGGGAGGAGTCACTTGCCTGCTGTGACCTTTCGTGAGTGCCTGGGCTGCAGTCCATTGAGGAAGAGACAGTATCGTTTGCAAGTTTCACCTCCCTGAGCACCGGGGCTTTTTGCCCAGATGAGAAATGTCTTCAGGCAGGAAGGGGAGAAACAGACTGAGGGGTTGAGTAGTCCAGGCCAAAGTCACTTATGGGGATGGAGAACTTCCCCCCCAAAACAAAACAAAACAGTGTTCTTTGCTGAGAAGCTCTCTGCAAAGCATGCCAACAGTGTTTATAACTAGTTTCCTGCGCTCCGAAGCCAAAAAAAGAGAGCAGTCTTTTAATGAAATTGCTTTTTTTTTTAAAGGAAGAAAGGCCAGAGAGAACTAAACTTCTTGGGGGAACTCTACATCCAGTTGTAGCTTAAGAAGCAAGTTAATACTCCATTTTTGTGTTTTGCGTGTATATTATTGTTTTGAGTTACGATCCCATTCCTGATGCATTTGCAATAAACACTAATTTCCACACCTCATGCTGAATTTGTGTGAAAAGGGCAGAAACTCATTCTGCAAGCTCAGGAAAGCCTGTAGGACACAGATTCCCAGAAATGCCACCAGGACAGGACAAATGGTGGGGAAACAGGCACACCTAGACGTGCACACAGCAAAACATTGAAAGAGAAAATTAAGACCTGGGGGTGGGGACAAAAAAGCCTTTTTTATTATTATTATTTACTGACTTATTATTTATTTTTAGGTGCACAGGGAAGCGTGTCTTCTCTCGTGTCAAGAAGAAGTGGCCTTTCCAAGAATGGAGCTATTGAGCTGAAATGGCCGCCACTATACACACACACACACACACACACACACACACACACACACACACACACGCAGGGACACACATGCACACACACACAACTCTGCTTTCCAGTTCCAGCTGCCGGTGACTTTTTGAGTGATACCCATGAAAGAATTCATTCCAAAGAGCAGTTGTTCCCAGCAGCCGTGAGGTCCCTCTTGAATTCATCGTCTTGAGGGAGGAGGGACATGCCTAATAGAAGCCCAAAAAGGAAGGAAAAGAGAAAGAAAGTGAAATTCTTGTGTTTTTGTTGTATCCCTGGGCTCTTTAAACAAATTATCAGAGATTTAAACTCGTCCCTGCCCCTCACCCTTCCCCCCACACACACACACATAACACTGAAGCACTGGGATCGCATTAAATTTGATGCGAAGAGACAAAATCTGTGTCCTGCAGGCCCCTTCTCAAAATGCCTAGAAGGGAGATTTCCACAGCCTGGATCTGACAATGTCCCTTCTTATGCCAAAGAGTCCCAAGAGGGTTGTAGGCCTTAAAAAATAAAATCGACCAGATACCTCCCTTAAAGGGAAGGAGAAAAAGAAATGATGCCAACTTACCCAAGGTACAAACACAGGGGAAATGAAGGAACGTGAGTGCAGCAACATGAGATTATCGGGGTTGGTTTTAAGCATTCTCTGAGTGTCCTCCTTGAAGCCTTTTAAAAAGGCAGTTTTGCACGGTGGGTAGAATTAGGCTTCTCCATGGTCAAGATTTTGTTCACTCCATCAGTGCAAATCAAATGGCTCTGGCCCGCTGGAAATTACAGCCTCCATTAGGAAGAAAAGAAATTACTTATTTCTGTAAATGTGTCATTCAGGTCCTTACGCAGGCCAGGATACCACCCTCTGCATACACTGGTTTTCGGAGGGTGTTTAATGCTTCAGCCCGTTGCCCTTTTCTAGAAAGGCTCTCATGTGACCCACTGCATTCCCTGGGTCTTTAACTTGCCCTGACGGAAGGAGCAGTCCACAGTTCCACAGAAGTAAGGACAAGAATAATAATTAATAACAGTATTAATAATGATGATGTCAGGCGGTCACACAGGACAGTTTATAAAATGCTTTCTGGATGCAATCTGCAATTTGAAATCGTAGGTCCCTGGCTGGTTTTAATGGCTTCCTTCGTTCACATTTCATTACCGAGGAAAGACTTACACTGTATGGATGTGGGTTTTTGCTTTTTTTTTTTTTTGGTGTGTTTTTTCTAAGGAGCACTTCCTTACAAGATGGCCCCCCGCTGGGTTTCCGGCAACGACTCCGGGGCAGGGCCCATTCCCCCCGTGAGTCTCCCGCGCGTTGTCGTCGATGCAGCCGCACGGGGGCGCCCGAGGACGTGGGGTTCGGCCGTCTCCAGCCCGGCCTCTTCCCCTGATCGCCCAACCGGGAAACTGGGCCGGAGCCAAGTGACAGTGTGCTTGTCGCTGAACTTCTAGAGAGCGGTCGAGTTGAATGGGAAGAACTGGACCGGGAAGGCCGAGCTGAGCCAGTCCCTTGTCTGATGCCCGGCCCTCTCCAAACAAAGGCGAGGCTGGTTGGCCGGTTGGTCTTTCCGTTCTTATGTGTGCCATCTTGGGGGCAGCTCAAGAAGTCTGTGTGGTTGCAAAACAGTTTAGCTGGTGTCTGCAAAGCGTTCAAGTCATCCTCATCGGCTGCTCGTGCCCCACGAAGCGCCCTGACCTCTCACCATCTCCTCGCCCAACTAGACAGCAAGCGACTTAACCTCTGCACCTCCCTCTGTCAACCGTAGGATGATGATGGCACCTGGTTGTGGCATTTCTGTGAATGTTCAGTGAGGTGCACCCCAGGCGCCCAGCTCCGAGGCTGACACACAGTGAACGCTGCGTAAATAAGAGCTCTTCTATCGTAGGGAACTTGTAGCATCCCTTAACAGACAACCCCTATGCAAAATGGCTAATTATAATAACAATAAGGGTGTTTCTCCTTTCATGTCCTAGGTGTCATGCAACAGCTTTGACTTTGGTCTGAGACTGTGTCCCGGCTAACAATAACGATAAGGAAATGTAGCATTCTGTGTCACAGGTCTGAAGTCACAGCCTGGCTCTCTCTGGTTGACACTCTGCCATGTCTCATCGGTCGGCCTCACCCTAAAACAGGTGCCTAATAATGGCTGCAGTTCTGGGCAAGGGGATTATGGGATTACTATAATGAGTTTTGATGGATCATTTTGGTGAAATCAGTACTGAGAAGGCAATACAAGGGTGCAATAAATAGTAAAGCAGTTATTGTCCATGCTTTTCAGGCTAGCCATTCTCCAAACAAATCACACCCCTTCAATTCCGATGACTGGGACTTGTGTAATGACCCCGACCTTCCTGTCTGTCTCATTCGTTGTTCCACCATCAGTGTCCAGCACAATGCCTGGACATAGTAGTCAATGAATATTGATAAATTGATTGACAAATATTCTGTGCCTACACCCATTGAAAATGGGTCACCTTCCCCTCTAGTGTGACCTTACCCTCTAGTGTGACAGCTCCAAGTGTCTGATCACTCTAATCTGACATCCATTCTCCCCAGGTGGCCAGACCAATGGTCCTCAAAGTGAGATTCCAGGACCAATGGCATCAGCATCACCTGAGAGCCTATTAGGAATGCAGATTCTCAAGCCCTACCCTAGACTCGTTGGACCAAACACTCTTGGGGTGGGACCCAGTAATCCGTGTTTTAACAAGTCCTCCAGGTGGTGTGATGCAGGAGCAAATTTGAAAACCACTGGTGGGGTAGAGCTACCACTTTGCAGAGCATCACTTAAGTGTTTGGTCCAAAGACAGGCCCTGAAGATGCAGATAGTGAAAGCTCACATTGAATCTTATATATGCCAGGTAGTGTGTGTCACATAACTTACCTTGTTTACTGCCCACTTGACAGATGAGGAAACTAAGGCTCAGAAGGAAAAAGCAACTTTGCCCAAGGAC